TGGGGGCGGGGCGGTGGGGAGAACGGAGCCCCCACGGGGCGACATCGGGCCGCAGGTGGGGATCTGAGCTGGTGGGTGGGGGTGCGGTTGCCAGCGCTGGGGTCCCAGGAGGAGACCCCAGGCCCAGGCCCACCCGTGGCCACCACCGTCGGTCCGCAGCCGCCGGGGCCGCCGCTGCGCATCCGATTACGGCCATCGGCCTCCTGCAGACGTGAGTTCTGCCCTCGATGGCCGCCTGCGTCTGACCGTCAGGTGTTGGAAGGGTGCGTTTGGGGCGGACCTTCTAGGAAGTCTTCACCAGGCTCACCTGTCCGCGGTGGGCACGAGGCCCGCTAGAAAACCACACTTTACAGAAAAGAGAAATCTGGGCACCTGTACCGCTACAAAATAATCGGTAATTTTTCGAGGAATGATAATGGCTTGATATCCTGACATTAGAGACACACACGAGGATGGCCGCCCTGCCCTGCAGACCCTGTCCAGGCACCGCCTGTCCCCAGGCCCACACACCTTTAGCGGTGACAGCCCCGATATCCCGAACAGACTGGCAGCCTTGGACATCCTGGCCACCCTGAACACCGCAGACGCCCCAGCTGTGGTGCACACCCCACTGCCCAAAGCTCTCTGCCCGCACCCTCCTTTCTATCCTGCGGGAAAATGGAGTGAAGGGGAGAGCCTGAGCAGTGGCTGCAGCCCTAATGTCCGTCCCCACAATATTGGGGGCCCTTCCTTTCCATCTGTCCCACCTCAAGGGTGGACTTGGAACCTCACTCAACCCCAGAAGGACCACTTAAGAGGTGGGGCCCATCTCTTGGTCCCCAACTCTGCCTGAGCCAAACACAGCAGCCCTGAGTCCACAGCAGGGCATGACACCAGCTTCCTCCTAGGCAAACCCCAGATCTGTGTGAACTTCTGTACCACTATCACGAAAATATCCAAACAACAAATCCCCTAGCTTAGGATACACAAAGACCCTGTAGGAGACCCTGCAGGTGGTCTGGGCGCCCTGTAAATTAGCCCAACTGCTTGGAGGATGGAGACACAGGTGAAACAGACACACAGCCGCTCCATCCCAGAAGCCCCATTGGTTTATTAGTCCCGAGTCGGCTGCTGGCGGTGCTGCCCCCAGTTATCTGCCGGGCAGGCAGGTGGGCAGGTGGGCTGCTACTTAACAAGCTTCCTCATGGTGCTCAGGGACGGGCTCCTGTACTCCCTCCCGAAGTGGTTCCAGTGGTTTAAGTAGTTAAAGAGGTGATAGACCAGCAGCCGCTTGTCAAAGCCCGGCGCCTTGGGCATCTTCTGGTAGTAGGCAGTGAAGAAGGATCTGGGGAAGCCCCCGAACATCAAGGCAATTGCCAGTTCAAACTCAGAATGGCCGTAGAAGGAAGCTGGGTCATAAATGATGGGCCCCGCGTCGTCCTCAGCCACATTTCCTGACCAGAGGTCCCCGTGAAGAAGGGCAGGGACAATCTCTAGGCCGCAGAACAGATCCGGGATCTTCACCTAAGGAAGTCATTATTGGACACAGTTATCAGTGGACTGTGAGCCGATTCTGGACAATAAGCACAGCCAACCTCATGTTTGTGCTGGTTCAGACACAGCGCAGCCCACCAGGGCTGGAGACACAGCCTCTGTCGGGCTCCAGGGGACCGGAACCTTGTCTCACTGCTGACTATGGACTCCAGGAGCTCTACGCCACTAGTGGTTCCCTGCAGTAGAGACCCCAGAGGGGGTGGTTTTATTGTCCTGTAAAACAGGAGCCGTGCAGCCTGAGTGGAGTGTCCTGTACGTAACTTAGCAAGCTTTCTCCACTACCCTTATTTCACAGCACGTGTGTATCTGTACCAATTTCACATCCTCCCGGTGACTTCATTAACGAGTAAAGAACATTTCTCCGACGCATGCTCACCCGAGATTGATAGGCCAGTTCTGTTTTTAACATTCTGAGAGTTGTGTTTTGAGACTACTCGCTCTGGGGCACCTGCTGCCAATCTGCTCTAAGGTGAGATGCTTGTGCTTTGGTAGAAAGGGAAGGAAGAACAGGGTAGAGGTGAGTGCCGCCTTCACAAGCCGGGCACCTGTGTGTCACATGAGCGAAGGCTGAGGTTAAGTACCTGGTGACCCAGCGGCTAAGAGGCACAATCAGGGCCTACCCCCTCCCGTTCCCCCCTGAGGCCAGCAACCAGGCACTGTGTGTCCACAACTTGGCCAGCTCCGCCCCAGGGCTCAGTGGTCCCTACCCTGGCCCCACACAAGTGAGGTGGGCCCTGCTCTCAGAGGGTAACTGCTGTGCCCACCTGGAGCTGTGACCAGAGTTCTCGTGCCTCCCGGTCACCATAGTCCTTCTCAATGAGGTCCATCTGCGCTTGGAGCCGGTGCCGGACAAAGAAGGTCGACCAGTCGTCCTGCCACTCGTTCACCTGGGCAACAAGGAAAAGGAGGCTGGTGCCACAGCTGGTGGTCACACAGAAGGTGCCCAAACCCTAGATCAACACAAGTGTTACAGTGAGCCAACAAAGCAGATAAGATGGAATCGTTACAAATAATCAGTTAATCCAAACTGGATTAAGCAGACAAAGAAGAAAAGGGGAAGAAAGAACAGCTGGGACACTAAAAACAAACAGCGAAATGACAGATCCAAAGGTAACCATATCAATAGCACGTTCAGTGTGAATGGTTTAGACACCCCACTTAAATGACAGGTGACAGGTGGGAAAAATGAAGCAAGACCCAAGTAGAAGCATGTACGAGAAATGCACTCCATCTATAAAAACAGAAATAGGTTAAAAGGACAGAAAAGATATAGACCACGCTGACACTCATGGAAGGAAAGCTACAGTGGTCATATTAACATTAGACAAAGTAGACTTCAGAGCAAGGGTAAGCGCCACCAATGATACGGAACAGAAAGTCGTTTCACAATGGAAACGGGGTCAGCTGATGAAGAGGACATAGTAACCCTAAATGCTTGTGCCTCTGAGCTCATGAATAAATGCTCCATCATTAATCAGGAAACAGCCTGAGAGAGAAAACATTTCGCACTTTCCACAACGGCTACCTCTTGAAAAGGCGGGAAAAACCCAGTGTGGCAAGGATGTGAGGCAGCTGGAACTCACACGCTGCCGGTGGGGACATAGGTGGTACAGGCACTCTGGAAAAGAGTGTGGCAGTTTCTTAAAAAGTTAAATACGAACCTATCATATGACCTAGTCATTTCCGTCTCAGGTATTTACCCAAATGGAAGCATTTGTCCACACAAACTTGAGTACACGAGGGTTCATAGCAGCTCTATTTGTGAGCAAAACCTGAAAACAACTCAGCTGTCCCTTGACAGGTGAACAGATAGAAAGGACTGGTTTATCCATAAGGACTGGTTATCCATACAGTGGGACAGGCTTGCGATACACGCGACGACATGGGTGAACCTTGAAATCATTGTGCTGAGTGGGAGAAGCCAGAATAAAAAGAGGAATACTGTGTGATTCCATTTATGTTAGATTCCACGAAATGCAAGTTTATCTATAGTGACAGAAAGCAGATGAGGGCAGGGACGGGCGGGAGGGAGAGATTACAAAAGGCATGAGGACATTCTGGGTGATGGACATACTCACCACCCTGACTGTGGAGAGTGGTTCACAGTGTATACGTGTCAGAACTCACCAAACTGTATACTTTAAATAAGCGGTTGGTTTTGTGTCAATTAGACCTGAATGGAGCTATTTTTTAAAGATGGAAAGCTTATACTATTTTATACAGAGCTTATTTTATACATTGTGGAACTCCCTAGGGCAGAGAGCAGAGCTGTGCTCCTTGGGCAGTGTCCTCAGCATGGCAACACTCCCTGTGCAGGGTGCTGTGGTCGCTTAGCCCCGGGCTCACCCCTTGGTGCTGGTACACCTGAAGCAGATGGGAGGACCCTCCTCAGACAGCCTGAGGTGCACAGGGGGCACCCTGGTTCCCCACCTGCCTGCCCAGGCCCATGTCTGGGGCTCTGGCCAGGTCCCAAAGACACAGAAGAAGTATTGGGAGCTGGAAACCAGCATTGGCTAGCCCAGTCCCTCCCTCAGGACAGAGGGGTCATGACCCCCTCCCCCACGGGAAGCCATGACCTTCCTCTGAGCTGCCACAGGCAGGGCCCCTGGGTGCACAGGTGAAGTGCATTTCTTGTGCACCTTGACGGGCAGGGCAGTGTGGCGGTTAGGGCCCGTGCTCTGGAGCCAGACGGCAGGCCCAACCCTGCCCCCACTCACTACCCGCATGACCTTAGGGGCGTCCCTCGGCTTCTGTGTGTGCATCCTCACCTATAATGTGGCTCACGATGCCACCACCTCATAGGTTGCTGTGGCCACTGGATGAGTTGAGTTGGCTAGAGCACTTAGAATGGTGCCGAGCACGTAGCTGTTAGTCACGTGGCCCCCTGTGGTCTCATTGGGGCTCAGGGCACTAGGTGACTGAGAAGCCTGCCACCACCCTCAGGGTCATACCACTGATGGCTACAGCCCCCTAAGGAGCACGGAGCCTCCTGGACGTTGGGGCTGGTCCGTGGCACAACGCCCAGGGCCATCTTGTCAAAGCACCAGGAGGCGGACCCAATGTCTTCCCAGGCACCTCACCCCATCCCGGCCAGCTGGTTCATCCTGGAGTCTGAAGGGGCACGCAAGGGCCACCTTGCCCCTCCCGGACCAGCCCTTCTCACCTGCTTCACACGTTGGGGTTCTGTGAACAATTTCATTCCTCAGTCAGAAAAGCCACTGTGTGAGGTCAACCAAGTGTGTGTGGAGACCCCGCCGTTCTTAAAATCTAATCTGCAGCAGGACATGCCTGGCTCAGCCACGCTTGCCGGGGACCGCTATGCCTGCACTGGTCACCAGCTCCAGACGGCTGTACCCAGCGAGAGAGCCAGCTTCCGCAGAGGTTGGGGGTGCTAACGAGCCCCATATGTGAGGGCTGCCCTTGGCTGGCCTCAGTCCGAATGTGCCTCAGACTTGCCCCAGTGACTTTAAACTGGGAGCACTGCCCTCTGCCCACTCCACGGACAGACACAGAAGTCTGCTGTGTGATTCCACTTGTGTGAAATGCCCAGAATAAGCAAATCCATAGAGACAGGAAGAGACCAATGGTTATTAGTGGCTGAGGGCAGGGGAGTGTGGCGTGACCACTAGTGGCTACGTGGTTTCTTCCCGGGGTGATGACAATGCCCTAAAACTAGACAGTGGTGGTGGCTGCACAATATCATGAGTGTACTAAGAATTGTCCACTTTAAAGTAGCCAAGTTTGTCACATGAATTACATCGCAATAGTTCCAATCATTGTTTCAAAGGCTCCAGGAGAGGGGCTCAGCAACCAGGACTTAAACCCTGACCTCACACACTGCTTCACTCACCCCCCACCCCACCCCCATTCATCACACACCATCCGGAAATGCCTTTGCACCTGCTGTTCCCTCTGCTTGGATGCTCTTCCACCTCCCCCCAGTACAGCTCCCCCACCCCACCCCAGGTATCACAGCTCCACCCCCAGCACAGCTCTCCCCCATCCCAGGTATCACAGCTCACCCTCTGCTGTCAGAAGTCAGGCGGTCAGTCTCCCTGGTGCCTGGGGGGCTGGCACGCTGGCACAGACAGGGCTGGGTGCCCAGCACCAGCTAAGCAGGGCACCCTCACCCAGGCACTCACCTGTGGGATGAAGCCACAGCATGTCGCTGTGTGGAAGCCGAATTTGGTCACATGCTGGGGCCCGGCACCCTCAGCCCTCCGACCTGTCAACAGGAAGAGACACTGTCTTTCTCGGAAATGCTGGACCTGGTAGGGCTGCACTGCTGGAATGCGGGTGGGCTGAGGAATCGCGCCGGGCAAGCGATTCGCCAGACCACTCCCGCCTCGAGCACACTGGACGGCAGGACGAGGGTAGAGGGCTCGTGGGGCAATCCTACATGTCCATCAACTCCACCCAAACCCCCACCTGGCAATCTTGTTTTCATCGCGCTGGCAGAGATGGTGCACGGCCCAGGGCTGAGACCAGCTGGGCACCACCCCGGGCGCAGGGAAGCATCTGGACACACCTACTGTGTGTTCCTCCTTCCTCCACTTGTCCCTGAGCTTCTGGTTATACAGGTGCAATTCCGCCACCTGGTCCCCGAGTTTTGCTGCCTGACTGCAGAAAGAAGAGACGCAGCCGTTACAGTAAGAAACGACAACTGGCTAGCACGCTCCAGTTTTAGAAACGTCTGAAACACCCTGAAAGCTACTGTCCATGCTTTAAACAGTGGGAAGTGAGCTGCAGGGAGTGACCCTTTCCAAGACATGGAGCAGCGTTAAGTCACCACACACAAGAAAGCAGAGGGACTGCACAGAGGACTTAGAGGTACCAGGACTTGGGGACACATGTGCAGAAAGTGACGTTAGGTGAAAAGCCAGCTCCCAATATTTGGAAAAACAGATGTAAACCACATATAAGAAAAACACCAGACAGAGGGGAAGAGGTGGGGGGAGGACAGAGAGGGTGAGGGAGTCAAGTTCACAGTGGCTGTCAGAAGCCAGACTCTGGGGGATGCACACGGGCACACGGGCACACGGGCATCGCAGTACGAAGCAGTGCACCTGAAACTTATAGAATGTCGTTAGCCACTGTCACCCCAGTAAATTTAGTTACAGTTTTTTAAAAGACCAGGATGATAATCACACACGAAAACGTCAGCAGTAGCTGGTCCCTGCTGATGGAATTATGGGTGGTTTCATGTCTTCTTTACATGAGTTTGTGTTTCCACCTTTCTTGTTTACAGTGAATAGATAAACCTTTAAGGACCTCAGGTGATTCCTAGACCAGAGATTGCTGTGCCCAACTCGAGCTGGCAGGTCACTCTGCACCAGGCAACAGGCATTTCAATCACACTCATTTGCTGCAGCTTCACTGGAGCCAAACTTGCCCAAAACCAGTCGCTCACCAGAAAGCGAGAGCCGCTGGTTGCCATTAAGAGTGGCGGGTGGGATCGCTGCCCTCCACACACACGTGCGCATACATGCACAAACACTCACACACACTACACACACATGTACACGCCACACAGCTATGCACATACTCGCTCACCTGCTCAAGCCCCTCATCTTCAGATACTCCATCACAAAGGCGGCCCCGCCTCCAGGCAGGTCGACCACCTTGATGGGCCGCGGCACCCGCACCAGGCCAGTGCTCCGGAGGGCCTCCAGGCTCGCCAGCTCCCCCTCAAACATCTGCCGGGCCTACACCGGAACACATCACAAGCCCAGGCTCCAGCGGGGCCAAGCAGCCAGGCTGTGGCTCACGGCCCTGGACAGAAGCCACCGTGGGGGGACACAAGCACCCAGGACCATAGTTACTGAAAACTGGCTGGGGAGCAAGCCATCGGCCCCTCAGAGAATGGGGGCAGCGTGGCCCTTGTGCGTAGGACACAGGACCAGGACGGGCAGGGCTGGGGCAGGCAGGCTGCTAACGCCCCTGCAGGGCGCACTTGCGCTGAGAGGTGGGCAGGCACAGGCCACAGAGACGTCCTAGGGGCGATGGGGTCTGTGGGGTGCTGTGAGATGCCCGGGGTGCCAGTGGGGTGGCCTGGAGTTTGGGTCAGTGGAGGGTCTGGGTTTGGGCCTGGGTCCCCTTCCAGGTTGCCAGCCCCCTTCCCTGCCTCGAGCAATCACAGCACAGGGAGTAGAGGCCTGGGGTGTAGAGGGCTCGTCCCGGTCACTGGGGCAGGGGGAGGCGCCGGAGGTGGCTGGGCGGGGCCTCCATGCCAGGACTCTCAGAGGCAAGCACCCACAGGGCCTGGAGGCTGGGAGGGAGCCCTGCACCCCACCCAGAAAAAAAGACTCCCCCACCCCACCCTAAAGCAGGAGAACAGCCTCCACTGGGCCCCAGGAGCTTCCCATTTCTAAAACATTTCCCACAAATACCCCAATTTTAAATTAGGCAGACTGTCACCTAGAGAAACCACCTCAGGTAAAAACGTGCTCGTGGATGTGTTTTGTGAGAACCTCAGACCCAAATCTGGGGACGAGCCCAAAGTGCCTCTGTCCACACAGCAAAAAAATCATCCTTTAATTCTAAGTGCCTGAGGGGAACATGAGACGAGGTGTCCTGGAAGCGGGGACCATCCTGGAAGGGGGCAGTGAGGTGACCTGCACCTGAGAGCTGCACTTGTCACCTGTTGTCACCTACTCTCGTGCATTCATTGAACCCCTACTAAGTGCTCGTATTGAGGGCTTCAAGGGTGAACGGTCCCAGCCTGGAGGGGCTTTCAGGGTCCAGCTAGGAAGGTTCCAGGGGCTATTGTGAACCTAAACCCTCTTCCCCGAGGGTGGGGCTTAGCATTCTGAGGGATTCTGGTTCTGAAATCAGACTCCTCACCGGTCCCGGTGCCCACAGAGCAGGGATGCTGGGTCAGTCCCACCAGGTGCGTACCACAAGGTGGGCAGTGCTGCAAGGCACTGGGAGGGGTCTCGCTGGGTTTGCTCCAGCCCACAGACAGGCCCCCCCACCCCGGCCCCCCACAGGGGCTGGCCCACAGAGCCTGGCGGGAGTGGCGCTGAGCGGCCTGCTCTCGGGCTGCTGCACACACTACCGTGAATGTCCTCCATTTGTAAAATGCTGTACTTTCCACATATATTTAACTGAAATAGTATGAGCAGGCCATGGGAACCAGGTGCAAACACAGGGATGCGAGCCTGGCCCTGGGGGGCCCTGGGGGCCCCTGGCTCCACCTGCCTGCCCAACCTGCTGAGGAAGACAGGCAGCTGCTGCGGGAGACCCAAGCCCAGAGCTGGGGCCGGGGGTTTGGCAGAAGCAGCCCAGGACTCCAAGCTGTACCTCCCCATGCTTGATGGGTACAGAAATTAAACCAAACAACCAAAAACTCAGGTGCAAGCTGGCTAGAACAAACCCTACAGCTGACAAACCCCTGATCCCTCAGAAAATGCTTGGGCCCTGCCGGTCCTGCGGGTGTCAGCGCCAAGGCTGCAGGCTGAGCCCCAGGGCAGTGAGGCCAGGCCCGGCCCAGGAAGGGGCCCCCTTGCCGTTGCCCCCTTACCCGATGCCCTCTCGCCCAGCGCCCCATCCTCCTTTATCCACCCGCTCCCTCTCTACCCCCCTCCCCTCTT